TCTTGTTTAGGCCACTTGTCCACTCCTTGAACCAGTTACTGCAGCTGGGTTGTGGCATACTGTAGCTGATCCAATCTGGGTCATCCTTATGAACAAGGAGTGGAGAGCCAGAATTAAGAACCCCAATAGGACCACATGCTACAGTAGTGGGCTTCCCCCGATACAAGGGGATATTGCCACCTAAAACGGGATAGGAAAATGGACTAGACCGAAAGCTGTTATGTTCCTCTGGTGACTTTGGTCCTTTCAACCTTGACGTGGAGGTTTCTAATAACCTGTCAGGAGCTTTGGTGCTAATGAAGAGACTTGCAGGCCCATCATGTTGGTTTTGACAACCGAGTTTGGTGCTTCTTGGCATCTCGGTCACCTTGGCTTTAGTTATTTGCCTGCCTTCTTCAGTGATTTCTTAAGTTTGAAATGAGACACATGTTTTCTTTACAGATTTATCTGGCAACCAACATGATGCCATGGAAAGAGAACAGTTTGAAGCCAAAAGCCCAGATCCCTCCTTGCTCTTGCATTTACGGGCCTTGTGGTCTTTGGTAGGTTACTTCGGCAGGTTCTACAAATCTTAAGTTTGACCATCTGTAAAATGAATGCTTGTTCCCTTACAAGGTTGCTGTGAAAACAGAGGAAATGTATGTAAAGCATAGTGGCTGCTCATAACACATGTCCAATTATTACTGAAGGCAAGGTGCCACTACCTCTGGGCAAACTTAAAGGACTGGAATATCATGTCTAATGCTCCAGGTACTAGATCAAGGGCTGGGAGGTAGAAGAACAAGACATGGCCCCTGCCCTCACTGGACTTACACTTCAGTGAAGGAGAAAGTAAAAGAAGTGCTTTAAGAGGGAATGAGAAAAACTGCTAACTAAGCATGCAAAGAAATTACCACGTGCTAGGAACCTCACCTACACCCTCTCCCCCACCTAGTGTTGCTATTTAATGGATTTAAGCAGCGATTACTGTAGCAGGAAAATAGCATTAGCTGCCCAATTTTTTGTAATATATCGGAAAGAAGGACATTTAGGGTATCCTGGCAAAAATGGACATGTCCTATATATGCAGGATGCCTGGCAAGCCCATCTCTATTCCTGACAATGCTACAATCCTATTTCTATATTATATAAATATATTACATATATTTACATAAATAAGTTCTGTGATCTCCACTGTACAAGTGAGGAAACCGACTCAGACACTGAGTAACTTATGCAAGGTCACAAACAGAAATGGCAGAACTGGGAGCCAAACCCTAATCTCTCCAGTTCTTTACATCACAGCATTCACTTTTCTCAACAATGACAATGGAAGGTTTAGGTTCAAATTCCAGTTTGACCTTTAAATGTATGCCTGCCTGGCTTTAGGTCCATTTCTCCTTCTGCACCTCCTGTACTTCCCTCTACAAACCCAACACATGGGCCAAATAGGTGGCTTCTCTTCAGTTCTTTGAATTCTGAGTACTAGCCATTAGTGATTCTCCAACTGTGGTCCCTGGATCATCAGCATCATCACCTGGGAACTTGTTAAGAAAGCATATTCATTGCCACACAAAACCTGCTGAAACCTGGGCATAGATCAGAAATCGGTTTTAACAAGCTCTCCAGGAGATCCTAATGCAAATTGCTAAAGCAGACCTTCAGCATTCTGAAGGAATATTACTATTGATACCTTTTCTCCTCTTCAACAACCAACTGTATGACTCGCAATACATTTCTTCTGAAGTTTTGTGGGGTTTTTTTAAAAAGATTTTTATTTGTCAGAGAGAAAGGGATCATGACCTGAGCTGAAGGCAGACGCTTAACTGAGCCACCCAGGCGTCCCCGAAGTTTGTTGTTTTTTTTTTAAGATTTTATTTATTTGAGAGAGAGAGAGAGAGAACACAAGTGGGGAGAGGAGCAGATGGAGGGGGGAAGCAGACTCCCCAATGAGCAGGGAGCCTGACGCGGCGCTCGATCCCAGAACCCTGAGATCACGACCTGAGCTGAAGGCAGACGCTTAATCAACTGAGCCACGCAGGCGCCCCTCTTCTAAAGTTTTTAAGAGATCTTAAAAAGTTGAAATTTACACTAAGGCACAGGATTAAAAGATCTACTTTTGCTTCCAAATACCTCATTAAACTTCACCAAATGAACTAAAATTACAATGCTTGCCAATACCATTACTACCCCAACTTTGCCTTCTTTTAGATGCTACTTTTAAGTCAGAAAAACTTCTCCCTCTTCAAAGTCGTTTACTTTTTATCCCTCCATCCTTCCCTTTAGTCATTCAATACTCTATCCATTTTGGCCCAAACCTATTTAAACAATGCCCACTACTCTCTTCACTCCACACATATTCCCAGTTGTCTCTGTTCCATCCACTTGCAAAATGTCTCTATGGTCCTATGGAGCCCCAATGCGTCCAGTTTGAATGTGGCAATTACTTAAGAGATGGGCCTGAAGTTAACCCTATTATAAAGCACAGTTTGCTAAAGGCACCAATATAAAAAGTTTGTTCCATCCAACAGAATTTTCAAGTTAAAAATTATTTTGCTAATTAACAATTATTTAAGCCTGTTAATCCAAGTCGCCAAAAGACCTCTTATTGGGCCATCTTATTAACTCTAAAATACTATCGTTTTTCCCAAAACATTAAATTTATATATGCATGTCCCCAAGATTTTATTGTACATTATGTATTAACCTCTGTATTAACTGCTTATATATTTAAACTTAAAAAACTAAAAACAAACAAACAAACAAAAAACACCCTCCTGTAAAGACTAGGGACGATGTTAACATACCACAATTGTCACAGTGCTATACTCAAGTATATGAAAATCTTACACTGGTGACAAAATATATAGCCATCTCCCCTCACTAAAGAGTATAGACTGAAACAGAAATAGAACAAGTTAAAGATACTGCATGATGCCGTGAAGTTTTAAGACAACTAAAACTAGATGTAGGTCCAAATTCGTTAAACTCCCCACCAACTGATAACTGGCATCAGAATCAGCTTGGGGAATTTCTGAAAAAAATAGTTTCTGGGATACATTTCCCAGTTTTCAACTTCAGAATTGTTCATGGTAGGACTAGAATTCGTCTCAGGTGTTTCTAGTGTACAACAGATTTAAGAACTACTGGCCCAGAGACACATTCCATTTTAAAATTAATCAGAAGTACCATAGCACAAGCCAATTAAAAAATATGCATGAGATGAGGGAGGACCCAATTCAGTAGCTTTTCACCCAGGCACTGAAGCTGACATAAACACTTTCGTCGGACTCCACAAATAAGTAGGATGCTCATTATAGCAGTTGATCGCACTGTTCTACCATCTCATTTCCCTGGTCCACAAAGTAGGTTCTAAACTGACGACTTACTGACTTTCATGGAGCAATCACAGTGAGGTTGCATGCTACTTCTTCCAAATCCACAAAGCCCCAAACATTTGTAACCCTCATGTATCTATACATCACTGAAACCAAAGTACCAAGAAATAATTATAGAAGATACACTGAGTTTCTAGTCTACATTGGGGAGGGTCATGATTAAGACTGGTCCTGAACCACTATAGGATTGCAATCCACAATTTGAAAAACAGAGCCAGTTCAACACTTTATAGGTAAGAAAACTCAAGTCTGTAGGTATGTCATTTCACCATCTCAATTAAATCTTTTGTGTGACCTTTCATTTATCAAATTCCCACCATGAAATCATAACTCTTTACAATGTGACCCCAAACAACTTCCATCTCTAGGTTCTGCATTCTCTTACTGCAGGCTGGCTTCTACCAAAGGACCTAGAACAAGGCCACCAAACCTCTCATCTTACAAATCCCATTGCCAAAGAAAATAACCACACTTTCTCCTACAGAGTGCAAAAATTCCAAGACAATATAGATTAAGTAGATCACACATTCCATATGCAACCAATAACACAGGAATGCCCATTCCAGCCTTAGGTAACCGGAAAGAAAAATAGACGGTTATAGTTAGATGACAGATAGATGTACACTAGAAAGGATAAAACTTCTTATAGAAATTTCTCTTGGCTGTAACAAATAATTTAAATTAGGCTCCTTATAGATAGGAATCACAACAAACAGCATCATTAATTTAACAATTCCTAAAGCTACTGATTTTAGCTAAGTACTTGTATATTAGAACCTTCTAAGGCTGCTAAAAGGCAAAATTACGTCAAAATTTGCAAATAGATTTTAAGTCAGACTTGAAAGCCAAGATGAGCAACTCCTTTTTCTAGTTATTACCTCTGACCAAGGCATAAGAATTCACTTAGACAAATAACTTTCATAACATACCTAAAAATAGGCTAGTTCATAAATTTTCTAAACTGTTCTTCCCTGCTGTGAGCAGCCCTTGATCTCTGACTGTAAAACTTAGAAAACTTTGGCATGCTCTAATGTTAGTTTTATAAGTTACTGAAAACCTCTATAAATTTAGCATCATTTCTCAAATCTGGACAGTTTTCTCATTCTGAATGCTTTAACATTTAGGTCACAAATTGAAATACCAGCAGAAAAAACTCATCTTTAGGCAGGTTGAACAGTTACCAATTGGCAAGAGACTGACAAAATTCAAACACTCAGAGTATCAAAACACTTCAAAGCTTTATGAACTTTGAACTTAGCACACTTTCCTAAATTTTAGTGGTTCCAACTACAGGAAAACCAGACTCTAAGGTTTGCGATGATTTAAACTAACTCAAAATTTTTGCAGTTCCTGACATCAAAACTAGATTTATAGTTTTATTATGGTAACAAATAGTTGTTGCAGGGGTGCCTGGGTGGCTCAGTCGTTAAGCGTCTGCCTTCAGCTCAGGTCATGATCCCAGGGTCCTGGGATCGAGTCCCACATCGGGCTCCCTGCTCCACGGGAAGCCTGCTTCTCCCTCTCCCACTCCCCCTGCTTGTGTTCCCTCTCTCGTTGTGTCTGTCTCTCTCTGTCAAATAAATAAATAAAATCTTAAAAAAAAAAAAGTTGTTACAGTGAGATCTATAAACATATACAGAATTATATTTAAATTCATATAGAACAATATTTACATTTTTAAGTTACACTTTTGAAATCAGAAGATGAAGTACAGCTTAAGTTTACAACAAAGAAAAGAAAAATACACAAAACAAAAACAGACAAAGTTAGCAGTAAAAATATAACTATCTGTTCTTGATATGTGGAAACTCTTTGTCAGAAAGCTATATCTTCTTAATCTGATTGTCCAAATCATTAAAATATGGATGATTCAGTGCCATTTTGCCAGAAATTCGTTTGGCAGGATCATAGACTAACATTTTCTGGGGTGGGGGGGGAGAGATAAAAAAAAAAGTTATTTATTTAAGAAATGAACCATAAAAAAAATTTCCATAAAGCCTTAATTTCTCTACCAATAAGCCATAAGTTAATAATTTTAATAAAAAACAATTAAATGAACATTTCCATTAGTTCAATACCAAACCACATAAATGCCTCATCCTCCATACTTCACCCTCTAGCTCTAAAATAACTTATTCCTTAAATTATAGATATCTCAATAACCCCTTTCTGCTATAAATCATGCTTTAAGACACAAGCATTCAGAGATAGCTTTAAAACCAGGACATAAATTTAAGAAAGATATCTAGTTAATTATATTTACTTTGAGAATTAAATGGCCATCTGAGTTATTTATAACATTGTTGAAATGGTGGCAATTAACTATAGTGGTTTCTAATGTAGCTTCCAGCAAGTTCCAAATAAAAACAAAACCAGAGCACAATGTGTTATAAACATAGTTAAAATGAGTCAGTAAATGAATTATATTCAATCTAGTATTAAAGTTTTAATTTACACACCACCAGAAAAGACTGTATAAAGTTTAATATTGATCTTAAATTTTATCTTAAACATTAATCTTAAAGAAAACCAAATCAATAAGCAGACTAGATATACTTTTACTATCTAGTAACCCTCTCACCTCTTATCATGTAATAAGCACTGTATTAAGTGCTTGGCAAATATAATGTTACTTAATCCTCACCACAAAAGCTAAGTACTGGTCCCATTTTACAATGAAGACACTGAGGCTCAAGGGTTAAGTAACTTGCCCAAGTTCTTAGACCTGAGAAGTTTAAATCTAAAACCAAGTCTGAGGATTTACAGCAGTGGTTCTCATCTGGGTGAGACTTTGCCTGTCAGGGGACATTTGACAGTGTCTGGAGACATTTTGGGTTGTCACAAGTGAGAGAGGAATATGATCCTGTAGCTATGGGGCGGAGGACTGGGATGCTGTTAAATATCTTGCAATGTACAGGACAGCCCCAGTATCAAAACATGATCCAGTCCAAGAGGTCAATACCAGCTAGACTAAGGAACCATGATTTACAGTATTTGATTTTTGTTTCATTGACTGAAGTGAAATTCTTTGTGTTCAAGAATTACAGACATTAAAAAGACAGATTGGGCCCAGGGTAAGGCAGACTTTCTAGGTCAAATCAACAACTGATATATAAAATATCTGAATGACAGATAAAGGACTTTGGACTTCACTGCAAGCAATTTGGAAATCCGAGCTGAATTTGGTAGCATAATGATTTATAAATTCTGAAAGGAGCCCAAAGACCAGTTAGAAGGTTTACAGGATAATAGAGCAATATATATATATTTTTTGTTCAGTAACCTACACAAACCTTATTTTCTTGTCATTACATTAGCTAAGATTCGTAAAAATTAGTTCCATTAAAAGCTCAATATTTAAATACTGTTCTAAAACAATTTTCTTAAAGCCTACCTTCTTAAAGGCCTACCTAGGACAATTTATATTTTATCCTAATAGATTTTTTTGCCTTGCTTTTAAAGAAAACAACTATTACTTGGGAATGGCAATGTAGTAAAGGGGAAAGATTTTTAAGAACTACGTTAGTCCTTCTACTAACCTTTGTGATATACAAATGAGGCACAAAGTGAGAAATTCATGAGTTCATGCAGTAAAAGGCTTCAATAACTAAAAATATCAAGCAATAAGGAAAACACCTGTTTCAGATAAACTAAAAAGTTGTAAACACCAAGATAAAAAGTTAGAAAGGAAGGCTACTACGAACCAGCTACTTAAAAACAATTAAGGCATATTAACCCTGGTCTCTCCTTCACAGAGCATCTGTAGCTACCTAACGGATTAAAAACTCAAACAAACAACAACTAATGCTAAAACCTCCTCTCAAAACCACTCGTGTTTCTTGGTATCTAAAATGGAGCTAGTTATAAAATAAACATAACAGGCATAATAGTTATGTATGTAGCTCAATATATGTTGGTTTATTTCCCAGGTAAAGGAAATGAATCGAGCACATTCAGAATCAAAAATGCTGAAGTCAGTATAAAGGGTCTCCTTACCGAGAGCAGATCCAAGCCATTTTCATCCAAGTTTTTAACATGGGATGCCAGGCTTCCTGGTTTCCACTTGGGAAATGTATTCTTATAGTCCTGTAAAGATTCCACTTCCGGCCACACTTCATTATTGGGAGTGCCCAAAGCTCTAAAAGGGTATAGCAAAACAAGAAATTATTAGTTAAAGCATAATCTTAGTATTACATACATGTTGCCTTCATTATTATTTCACTTGAAATTTTAAAGTTCTTAAAAAGACAAAAATACCTGAAAATTCTGAAGAGTTGATCGATTTCTGAATCCCCATGGAAAAGTGGTTTCTTGGTTGCTAATTCTGCAAATATGGTGCCTATACTCCAAATGTCAACTGGAGTTGAGTAGCGAGCTGACCCCAGCAATACTTCTGGCGATCTATACCAGAGTGTTACCACCTATTACAAAACAAATTTTTACACTGAATAAATGCAGTGCATTAAATTACTAAATATACACTTTTATATTTCAGTAAGACTGTCCTTTAAAAGGTTCCATGGTTGCCTCTGATAATATTGCTTGAACATCAACTAACTATACACAAAATAACAAATGGAAGATAAGAATTTCATTTGTAAGTTCTATTCACGAGGAGGTTAAAAAAAACAAACATCAGATAAAAGCATACCAGCTCTTTTCTTGCTTTTCAAATCATTAAAGTCCAAGAATCAAAATAGTCAAGACAGCATTCACTTTAAAAAAAAAAAGCCACTGATAATGGATTTGGGCGTGACACTGTACAATGCATGTACATACACTGCTTATATGCTAAAAACATGAGTAAGTCAAATAAGTTTATTAGTGGTCTAGAGCTGATCTACTATTTTCGTATCTATAATTTATCACGATGGTAAAAATATCATCTCTAACTTAATGAGGTCAGTAGCAACTGTTTAAACCCATGGGAACCAAATAATCTTTACTTTTTTATACAGCCATAGGAAAAATGATGAAAATAAGCCAATACATCTAACCAAATGAGCAATGTTATAAGTTCTGATTTGGAGATAGTCTTTGGGCTCAGGGATAGACAATGCCACAGAAAACCATCTTCCAGAAGTCCTTTACTATAGAAGTCAACACTCCCTTTCCCTCTGGAAGTAACAAATGAAATGCCAAGTCATCTGTGGAACACGGACAAAACTTGATTATATTCAGTAGTTTCTAAATATATCTGAAACAGTAACCCATAAGCAACAAAACCTCTCTTTTACCAATTTGATTGTGTACCAGAGAGGATCCAATCAGGAGACAGAAACTCATGGTGATTTGCTTGGGGAAAGTTTACTAAGAAGGATTATTAAATAAAAGAGGGTTAGAAAAAGAGACTAACTAATAAGGAATAACTCTTAGAACTGTAGCAAGGAAAACCCCTTCCTCCAGCAATGCCTCTCCCACACCAGCTACAGCCATCACGCTTGTGGGCAAAGAAAGAATATTTAAAGGTCCCAGTTAGATTTTCACATAGCATGCAATGAAGAGTGAGTTTGGAGCTGAGAGGCAATAAACTCATGCTGGCAAGATGGAAATCTTTCTTATTGAGTGTTTGACTTAATGAACAAATACAGAAAACAAACGAGCAATCACACATACTCAAAAGCACCAAAAAACACTATTCTACATACCTCATGTGTGTATACTCTAATAGGTATTCCAAAAGCTCTGGCAAGGCCAAAATCAGCCAGTTTAATTGTTCCTTTGTCATCAATCAATAGATTTTGAGGTTTTAAGTCTCTGTGCAGAACTCTTCTGGAGTGGCAAAACACAATCCCTTGTAGGATTTGGTACAAATAACTCTGGAAGAAGGAAATTAGTTAGAAACTTAACTGTCCCACATAATGATTTTCTAAATAATCTTGGTGGGTTTGTTTCTAAGATATAAGAAATTATAATGCAGGGAAATAATTTAACGACCACAAAAGCTTTCAGGCATTTGAGACTAACAAGGAGCATTTGGGGGTAGGAAGCCCATTGATATACAGTATCATGTTTGTATACATGAGACAAAGATATTTTCCTTATGGACACATCCATATGAACTCATTTAGTCTTCTACTATTTTTTGTACCCAATTCTTAAGTTCTGTACAGTTTTTTAAAGATTTTACTTGAGAGAGAGAGAAAGTGAGAGAGCACAAGTGGAGGGGGAGGGGCAGACAGAGAGGGAGCAGCCGACTCCCCACTGAGCAGGGAGCTGGACACGGGCTCAATCCCAGGACCCAGAGCCGAAGGCAGATGCTTAACCAACTGAGCCACCAGGGCGCCCCACAGACAGTTTTTTAAACTTTAGTCTATATATTTATAGCAACTTTTTTTATTTTGAGTAAGGTTGGTCCATTTCTATTTCTTATCATTACATATTAATTTCTTCTTTGGAAACACTAGTCACAGATTCCAAAAGAAATAACAAACAGGATATTATGATTACATATTTAAATAAAGACAATTATCATAACATGCGATTTATTAGTTCAGAGAAAAATATTGTATAAGACAGGTGTTGCCAAGACAATGTAATTGTCATTTGAAGCAACATGCGTATTACAGAAATATAAAGTACACATAGTAATAGTATTGACTCATAAAGTTCAAAATTACAAATAATACATAAAATCAACTGTTAGGAAAACAAAAAAAAAGACTGTATTGACTGGGGCGTCTGGCTGGCCCAGTCAGAACAGAGTGCGACTCTTGAGTCTGAACCCCACATTGGGAGTAGAGATTACTTAAAATAATATTTTTAAAAAAGAATTATGTATAGGCTGTTTATAAATAACTAAAAATGAAAAATTATTAAATGAGATACAAAATGATAATATGCTTTTTTCACATAATGGACTGATAAAATATTTACAAGATTGATAGAAGTAGGTGCTAAAAAAAATAACTGTCACGCACCACGATGAGTAAAGTGCTACTATTGTTTGGAGGGCAACTGGCATTATCAAGATTTTAAAAGTAAATAAACATCTTCAACTCACTGATTAAAGCTATAAGAATTTATTCTAGGGGCACCTGGGTGGCTCAGTCAGTTAAGCATCCAACTCTTGGTTGCAGCTCAGGTCAAGATCTCAGGGTTGTGAGACTGAGCCCCAAGTCCAGCTCCGCATACAGCATGGAGTCTGCTTGTCCCTTTCCCTCTGCTCCTCCCCACCACTCTCGTGCACTCGTTGGTACTCTATCAAATAAATAAAATCTAAAAAAAAAAAAAAATAGAATTTATTCTATAAAGTTGCAAATGACCACAAATAAAAATAAGGATTCACTAGGGCATGGTTCATGAGAGCATAAATCACCGAGCTGGAATACAACTTCAATGTCTATCAGTATGGAATTGGTTTAAATAATGAGATCAGGGGTGCCTGGGTGACTCAGTCGGTTAAGCGTCTGCCTTTGGCTCAGGGCTCAAGTCATGATCTCAGGGTCCTGGGATTGAGTCCTGCCTTGGGGGGGGGGGTCCCCTGCTCAGCAAGGAATCTGCTTCTCCCTCTCCCCCTACCCCATGCTCATTCTCACTCTCAAATAAATAAATAAAATCTTTAAAAATAAATAATTAGATCAAACATTTAGATAGATGGGCAAACCTATGCTGACTGTCTCACAGAAAAAGGGTTTTTACAGTTCTGTAAACCAGTGTATGTGTATATACAAAGCTGACATACAAGCATCTGTAAGACTACTAAAGAACTAACGATGGCTACCTACCCGAGGAGTGGTTTGGTATTGGTACAGTTTAAAAGAAAGACACATCTACTTTATAGACTACAGTGCTTTAAAAAAAATATATATACATTTATAATTTAACTGAAATATAATGTCAACAATAAATTAAAACATTCAAAACCAGAATAAAATAAAACCACTTGCTGTCATTACCCTACCAAGCTTGTTACATTGTTTTACACACAGCTGACTGCCAAATAAAGACCAAAATATCCTAGTTTCCAACAATGGAATACATACTTAATGGTTTTATGTTATCCCAGGCACTGCTTTTCACTTTCTAACTAGAAGCACTATCTACTAGTAAAAAGGGTAACTTTAATCTATACACTGTAGAAGAAAAATATTCTTTTCTTCCTCGTTCTAACATTTTTTCTAAGCATATTCCCCCAAAATACAGAACTTCTAGAGTAGACTCTTTACACTCAGAGGATAAATACTAATAAAATTAAGTAAGATAAATACTATATAAATTTAGTAAGTGGATAAATACTAATAAAATTAAATAAGCTTCTTACCTTAACAAGTGAAGAATCCATGAACTGACCAGGAGGAATGGAATCTAAGTATTTCTTGAGATCCATGGAAAGGAATTCAAAGATGAGATACAACCTGGAATCTTGCATAAGCACATCTTGAAGACTAGAGAATAAAATAATCATGTGAAAAATAAAATCTACCAAACACTTTTGACCTCTCACAAAATAAAACTTCCATAAATTTAACAATGGCTATCACAGAAAGTGAGACTATAAGAAATTTTCTGCAACAAAAAATAACAGTTTTGGGAAAGAAAAGATGGTAGCTTCCCTAGTAGTGAAAACCTTAGTACTAAACTAGAATTTGAGAAAGGACATTCAGGGCAGCAAATGAAAATTAAGTCGTATTATGCTGAAGGTGCTAACTATTAAACCACTTATATTTCAAAAGAACATTTTTTAAAAAAAAAGACATTTAGAACATTTTTAGGTTGACTGTTGCTCAGAGCTTGTCTTTTCAATGAAGTAAATTATAGAAATAAATTTTAAAATTTACTAGGAAGCTTAACAGTTGCTTACTATTTCCACCCCCAGAAAAATGCAATTAAACCCTAACTTGGACTATTAGGAAACAAAAACACCAATCCAAATACTTAAAAATTTTTTTTTTCATCTGACCTAGCTACCTGTCTTAGGACTCTGACTAAGGGGTCTTCAAGGACCAGAGCTCAGACTGGTATAGGTGATAAAGGTCTATGAAAAAGGATTTCCTTTTCTCCCTTGGCCAGTTTACCTTGATTTTCCAGCCCCCAATACTAATCTCTTATTACCAAGCTCCTCTAACTCTGTTCATGCTGTAAGCCTATTCTTCCTATGCCTGGCATTCCCACTTAACAAAAATAGTAGGGTTCTATTCCGCTCAGCAAAGTTAGACCAGATATTAAGCAAATGTAAAAATTTCCACATTGAAACTCACATTTGAAATAGTATGCGGAAAATGGTTTAAATTCAGATATACCATACCTGACTATATTTGGATGACGAAGTTCTTTTAATAGAGAAATTTCCCGAATTGCAGTACTAGGAACCCCTTCCTCTTCACTTTCTAGTCTGATTTTCTTCATGGCTACCACTTGACCTGTAGTTTTGTGTCTACCCTTATACACAACTCCATAGGTACCTGAAATAGACAAAGTAAATGTCTACTGTATGAAACCCTCCACAAACTAAGGTTTTAAAAAAATGACTGATCCCATTAAGTGTCACATGACAGAAATGTCTACTGTGACCAGATAGGAAGTGTCTTACTCATAATTATACCCTCATCACTTCCAAAAAGAAACTGAGGCTAACTACAAGCTATCATGTCTATAGTTTAGAAATAAAATTCATGTAGTTGTCACAATTTTCCCATACATTTAAATTACCAATAATTTCCCAGCACATTTTAGAGAAGAAAAGAAAATGGACCCTTTGCCGATTGAGATTTATCTCCTTTCAAATATCCCACCCAACAGTAAAGCAGGCATAAAATATAGGGTGAAGATGATTTGGGCTGAGGAATTATTAATAGGAGTCACTGTGACACTTTCAGAAAACTGTAGAGAGTGCTTTATGCATTTCAAATAGAAAAAATGGAACTAAAATATTTTACTAAATATTTGGGAAATATTTAGTAAATTTAATAAAGTTCAAAATATCTACTATTTGGTATGAAAGCCTCACACCCATTTGGAAGTTAACATGAACACAGATTCTGATATATAAGCTTCAGATAATGAGCAACAACGTCAGTCTAAGAAATCTTGGGCAGGAGGGTGGATACGGAGAACAGAAGCGGCAATATAAGGGAGAGGAACTAGTTTAAAAAGTTCATATACAATGGGATGCCTGGGTGACTCAGTCGGCTTAGGTCTGTCTTTGGCTTAGGTCATGACCCCAGGACCCTGCGATCAAGTTCAGCACTGGGCTCCTTGCTCAGCAGGGAGCCTGCTTCTCCTTCTGCCTGCCACCCCCCCTGCTTGTATGCTCACTCTCGCCCCCCCCCACAAATAAATATACATAAATCTTAAATTTAAAAAAATTCATATACAGGATACATTTAGTCCCAGATAAGTGCTCCTTTTTTTTTTTTTAAAAGATTTTTATTTATTTATTTGACAGAGAGAGACACAGTGAGATAAGGAATGAACAAGCAGGGGGAGTGGGAGAGGGAGAAGCAGGCTTCCCGCCGAGCAGGGAGCCCAATGCGGGGCTTGATCCCAGGACCCTGGGATCATGACCTAAGCCAAAGGCAGATGCTTAATGACTAAGCCACCCAGGTGCCCCGAGATAAGTTCTTTTTAAAACTGTGGTTGGAGGGGTGCCTAGCTGGCTCAGTAGGCAGAGCATGACCTTGATCTCAGGGTCGTGAGGTTAAGGCCCATGTTGGGTGTGGAGCCTACTTAAAAACTAAATAAAATCTTAACAAATAAAAATTTTAAATTCAGGTTGGAAAATATAGGAGATCTTGAACTTGACTACATAAAATTTTGAATAACCTATTTTTCTGTACAACGGTTTAACTTCAAAAGTGATTAGAGTGCATTTTTCTAAGGAGATCTATTCTATAGCTTTTATTAGTTTCTCCAAAGGTAGCAATATTTCAAAAAAGGCTAAGAACTACTATCAAATTATCTCCTGGCTTAATTAGAATATTAAGGATGGTTTGGTGATGTTACATAAACTTTGTTCTAATTTTGTTTTAAACAGAGAAATTCTATACAATTATCTGCCTTCCTAAATACTGGTATGATTTTAAAGACATAATTGACCTAGGAGCCTAAAATTTTACATTATTTTGACTAAATCTGGGTTAAGTGTGACTTTTGGATAACCAAAGTTATTCCAGATTTTAAAAAACCCTGATTTTATTGATCTTCACAACCATCCTTAAAAATAACCTTCTGTTCAATTGAAGTCTGTCCATTTTTTGGATATGAATTATTCTTGCATCAAAAAACACAAAAGTAGGTAAATCAGTAGCACAATTACCTGGCACACTGTTAAAGCAAATTCAAGAAGATTCGTCAATTGCATAATAAGCAGTTAATGGTAAATTCAGAACTAATTTTTTCCCCTACTATTCCTCTCTCTCCTGTACAATCTCATCTGGGCCTAAAATTTACTCACAACAATTAACTAACTTATATCTAACCCTTAGTATTTATTCAATTTTAGACATCACAAGTGCTCTATGTCTCTCTTCTGACTCTATGAACCATTACCACTCTTTTAACTACAGAAGCGGCAATATAAGAGAGAGGAACTAGTTTAAAAAGTTCATATACAATGGGATGCCTGGGTGACTCAGTCAGCTTAGGTCTGTCTTTGGCTTAGGTCATGACCCCAGGACAGAGCTCTAGTTAAAGCAGAATGATTCTGCTGGTTAAGCACCAAAAATTATTTATGAAATGCATAATATATACTCTGAAATGAACTACACATTATTTTATTTTCTAAAAAGATTTTATTTATTTGACAGAGAGAGCACAAGCAGGGGGAGTGGCAGGCGGAGGGAGAGGGAAAAGCAGGCTCCCTGCTGAGCAGGAAGCCAGATGTGGGATTCATGATCCCAGGACCCTGGGATCGTGACCTGAGCCAAAAGCAGATGCTTAACCAAATGAGCCACCCAACCACCCTGAACTACACATTATTAAATTAAAAAAATAATGTTAGTTATGGTCAGGTTCTGGAGACTCTAAATGGTAAGCACAAAAACTTTAATCAAATGTTTATTGAGTGAATAAAGGCCAAGTTAGGTCCCACATCATGGATATAGCTACTCTCTATGATCCAAAAAGACGTTTTCTTATAACAGAATGTGACAACACTCAGATCCTTGTAATTCAGAAGAAACCAGAGAACGCCTTTGTAATAACTAAAACAAGCAAAGTCTAGATGTATTTAAGAAATGAATCAAGTTGTCAAAAAACTCAAGTGTCAAGGTGGAAAAGTCAGGATGACTATTCTAAATTAGAAAAAGATTAAGGAGACATTAGTCACCAAATGAAATGCATGACATTGGCTAGTTCTTCAGAAGATACATACATTAGTATTTAGTAGTAAAGCACATCTCTACAACTTACTTTACATGGGTGAAAAGAAAAACAAAATGCTAAAAACACACACAGATAATAAAGTAAATGTGACAAAATTAACATCTTGGTAAAAGGTATTACAGGTTCATTGAATTTATCTTTCCACTTTTCTATGTTTGGAAATATAATAAAGTTGAGGGAAAGAAATTTAACTTTTCAAATTGGTACTTTAATGCTAGTAGAATTTGACCAGGTATCTGGCAAACCAAAAGAAAATACTGTGTGAAAGGTATCATCTAGGCCTTAAATTATTCATACAATTTATTTTTTCAAAAACGTGTCCACCACAAAATCCAAAACAGCCAGGCACTGGAGTAGTGAGGACAATACAAGTCAGAAAAAGAAACAGAGGAAAACACACAAAGAAAAACAGATAATGTTATTATCAAATATTTTAATATCTCCAATAGTGCTAAGACACTACTGCCAAGCCCTGTTCAAACACTTATGAACAAGACGAAATCCCAAACTTCATAAAGCTTACTTACAATGTAGTAAAGAAAAAGGATATTAAGGGTAACAAAAAGGGAACTACAAAACGCACTTGGACTAGAACAATGAGATGAAAGTGAAGGCAGCAGAGAGTGGCTTTCAAAGTGAAAGAACAGCCATTGCCAAAAGCCCAGGGGTCAGTGAATAGGGAATATGAGGACATCATGTAGTAGAATGGAATCTTTTAACTCAAGGAAATAGGACTACATTTGAAATTATACTCTTTACTGCTTGTATTTCAATTAGAGTACCTTTTCTCAAGAGTCAAATCTGTAGTCTCCTGCATGTTAGGAGTTCCAGAGTTTTAAAGAAAAACACATTTACACTTTAAGAATAACTTTTTGTTCCAAACTAAAAATCAGCACTCATTTAATTCTCTGGGGATTAAGAAAAACTCAAAGCAGAAGACAGTAGATATTTTCTTATTTTCAACTCAGAAACAAAATTAGCTTAGTTGAGCAGGTATAACAAAGTATTTAAGTGATTTTTAAAAATATCATATAATATTTGTAAGTTAAGAAAAAGAATAGATCTCTAAACCAATCACCACCTAAACTTACCATCACTATCTCACTAAATTCTTTCCAGTGCTCCGCCCCTGGATTTTTAGTAGTATTCCTTATACAAATACGGTTTTGGAACACACTAAAAATATACTAGTTGGAAATGTTCCTCAAACAGAACCTATAAAAATTGGACTCTAATAGCAAATTACTTTGTACAAGTTGTACCATTTGTTCCTAGAGTGTAGAATGTAAATACCAACTTAATAGAAACTTAAGATATTCTGTTGGAAAAAAAGGCAAAGGGATATTTTTACTCTTCCATTTATGCCACATAAACATTCTTTAAAAACTTTAAGTACTACAGAAAGGAAATGAATGATTATATACAAGAGTTATTTGTTTTAGATTTGCTTAAACATGTACACATAACAGGTCATTTAAATCTAAGGAAACTAAATAGAAAATTTATTTAAATTGGCTTAATAGTCTACTGTACTAATTTACAAAGTTTAGGTAAAAATACTGATCTTAAAAATAATTGTATGAGACTAAAAGTACACTATTAAACTTAACATAATTCTACTGCCCTAACCTCTCCCCACCAACACACATACAAGATATCAGTAGTCTTCTCAGAATACAAATATTGTTTTAAGTGTTTAGTATTTTAAAATGTAAGACTATTAGGGGGATGGAGGGAATCATATCAGAATAATTTCAATTTTCTTAAAATCTGAACATTTTACAAGTTACCATGTAAAGAACATATAATTAACGCACATTAGCACAGGATACCTTAAAGATTGGATTTTAATAAATATTTACATGTCTTCATGTCCCAGATTTATAGCATTACTATATCATTTTTTAAAAACTTTATTATTAAAACCACTCACCTTCTCCAATTTTCTCTATTTTGGTATAATCTTCCATAGTTAATCAGCAGATTTGGTAGATCCTAAAATGAGAGGAAAAGCTAATTTGGTCTCATGACACTAACTCCAAAGGTGGTTTTAAGTTTTTAATGAGATACAATACGTAAAGCATTTTCCAGTGTCTAGTGCAGTATTAATTTTCCATAAATATTAGTTATGTTAAAACAACACTCACAAAGGAAAGGACTTCTGCAATAAGATTTTTCTATCTGTTAGCTCTTAAAACACTGGATTTGTATATCTTAACCAGTGTAATATTTAGCTTCTTACAGTCAAATTAACCCTCAAATTCAGCTATCAACTTATCTATCCCTTCCAAACAAAAACCAGAAGTATGTTTTCTTTATGTAACACTTCTAAGGAGCACCAACGTGTGTTACTTATACCCAAACACTTCCACAAATAATTTTATTTGACTCAATTTGTACTTTACAATTTTTTTTGGAGAAAATTCAAAAGGAAAAATATTTAAAGACACAAACAGAGAGCTAATGTGGCCACACTGCTCACCCACTAGCAAGATTGCTCAACTGTCAGTTGAAATGCTGACAAGGAGACATTCACGACTTCCTCAGCTGAGAAGTTTGCCATTGAAACATCTTCAGAAGCCCAGGCATAATTACTTTGATTTTCTAACACACTCATCACTAAGATCATATATGAAGGTCACTAATTGACACTTAAGTTCTATTTCTCAGTCATCTTCAAAATCATTCCAGAAGTAGAGACAAATCTTTTTAAATAAACAAAATTGCACTACACTGGCCATGAGTGCCAATCTTAAATATTTTTTAATTTTTCAAAACGGCAGTAATTAGGATAATCACCTTTTTCTACAATATCCAGATTTACTATGCTTAAAGAACAAAATTGTTGAGCTCACTCTGAACAATAAATTTCAAAGCTGGGTTTCATTACCCTCTCTCCATTTTCCTGTTCTAACAATTTAAAATAAAGGATGAAGCTTTAAAATGCCTTTTGAACGCTTTCTGAGGCTCTGTACTACTAGCAGCTGTATGTAAAACACCAACAGCTTCATCTCCTATCTAGAGACCTCCAGGTCTTTAAAGGAAGCAAGACGTGCACACGGGTAACCCTAGTATTAAACAAAAATTAAGTGATACTTAAACACACATATACGTATCTCTCGGCATTTCTTAGCTTTCCACCTTGCATAGTATATAACAGTCACCAAGCATAAAATAAAAGCGAAAAAATCTCATCCGATCGGTGTTCCGGGACGGCCTGGCTTTGGGAGCCGGCGTGGGTACCTGTCCCAGGTGCGGTCTGGCTTTCCACCCCCGCAGGCTAGAGCAGAGCGCACGCGGGACAGGCCGGAACCGCAGGGCCCAGGACGGAGCCTGGAAATCCGCGTCGTCGAACCAGTGCAAGGGTTTGGCTTCACGCAGGACCCGAAAATCTCCTCAGCCAGGTCGGCGGCCTCTTCGCGAGAACTGCCCACCGCGACCCCAGACTGCCACTCCGAGGCCAGGGCAGCCCCTGCCCTCCCCACGGTATGCCCGCCGAGTCTGGGCTCCCGCGAGCCTTCCTGGAAAGCCGGGCCCCGGCGTCGCTCACACGCCCAGGCCCCCGGGGCCCGAGTGAAGGCGCGGCCTAGCCTCCAGAGGCCCGGCCCGGCCCCGCGCAGACCCCTGCTGCCCAGTCCGGCCTCCTAATACCACCCGGTTCCTCAATACTCCTTCTCCGGGGTCTCCGAGCCGGCCCCCGCCGAGTAGACGCCCCGTAGGCATGACCCTGACCTCAGCAACTCTACCCGGCTTATTATCCCGCGACGAAAGCGGCGGCGTCGCTCTTGCCTCAACTTCCGAGAGCCAGCTTTGAAGCTAAGTGCGAGCTGTTTCAAACTCACCGCGCTGAAGGGCCCGAGGCCCACCAATCACGTAGTCCGTAGACTTTCAAAGGAGCCAATCGGAGCCCAGCGACGCTTGGGGCTGGGCTTCCCGGGTGGCTAAAGCGCGAAAGAGAGTGGAAACGGCGGATGGACAAAAAGCGGGAGGGCGGGCGCCAACTGAGTCTGAGCGCAGGCGCTTTCTTTCATCGCAGGAGAGCGTCGTCCTACTGTTTCTGGTCGTCGGAAATCTACTGTTCGCCATGGGTCGGGTTTTTTCCCTTCCAGTATTGGCACAATTAAAACTTACTGCTCTCAAATATCGCATCACAACACTGATACTACATTTACATTCAGATTCCATTATTTTCACTTCTAATACTTAAAGCTACTGTATATTTATGTTTTTCTAAGTGGATAATTTCCCAGCTGGGCTAAAGGAGCACATTTCACCCACACATATATATACTTTGTTTTTACCTTACTTTTTAAACTTTTTATTTAAAATTCTATTTATTTAAAAATTCTACTTATTTAAAAATTAAAAACAAAATTTTACATTTTTAAAGTTTAAAATATTTCACATCAGAATTTTAGTTGTTTTTTATTTTTTTATTTATTTATTTTTTTTAAAGATTTTATTTATTTATGTGAGAGAGAGAGAGATAGTGAGAGAGAAAGAGCACGAGCAGGGGGGAGAGGGAGAAGCAGGCTTCCCGCCGAGCAGGGAGCCCGATGTGGGGCTCGATCCCGGGACCCTGGGATCATGACGTGAGCCGGAGGCAAACGCTTAACGACTGAGCCACCCAGGCGCCCCAGAATTTTAGTTGTTTTTTAAAACACAAAATTCACAATTCCAGGAGAGGGGAAAAAAAAGAGATCTAAATTATTCTTATTATTTAAATAAGAGTATCAAAAACTCTCTCTCATTGCCCTCCACCATAACCTTAAGAGAGATGTCTGTGCTTGAACACCATTCTTTAAGTTTTTAAGAAAATAAGAGTAAAATAGAAATGATAAGAAGAGTCCCCTAATAAGGGCTTCTCTTTGCACCACCCTTAATGGGTTGTAGGACAAAGACTGCTTACCATGAACTCTACAAAATACTATTAGAAGGCCCAGATTAGGTGCTCGCTTGGGCAGCACAGTTGGTAAAATTGGAACTATACAGAGAAAATTAGCCTGGTCCCTGCCCAAGGATGACACAAATTGGTGAAGTGTTCCATTAAAAAAAAAAAAGACCCACATTAGGATAAAGAAGGGAGCTAGTACATCACATGCATTTAAGTGTTTAGTACCCTTTTACACAGGGAACAGCATCTGTCATCTGGCACTATTTGTGGTATGAACGCATGGCCTTAACAATTTTATGCTCCTAGGTGACAGAGAATATTTGGGATTCACATTGGAGGTAGGGGGTTCTGAAATCCCTGCCTGAATCTAAGAACTTTTAAAATTTACTTTTAAAATCCCAAATTCACATTTTAAATGAAAACTGACTACCCCAGAGAAGTGCTCTAGGGAAGAAGACTGTTCTCTGCCAGTTCAGGGTACTGATTTTAATGAGTACATATATAAATATTTCTCTCTGGGAGGCCTCAGCAAGGCGTTCATTTTATAGCATCTAAAAACAGCTAGTAATTCATTATATCCATTCTACATTCAACATAAAGACCACAAGTTTCCACAGCTGTGATGCTAGATTTTTCAATTTAACTCAGTTATCTTTGTTTTTAAACTTTCAGGGGTTACTGTAAATTCATGCTATCGTCTTCGCAAATACAGTTTATTAACTTGAATTTAGTGTCTCTAAAGTACTTTATAGACACAAAATTAATCAGATACAATTCCTGCTGTAAGTGTTGGAGGTGGGAGAACACATGATTACTTAGAATTTTATTCTGGCATTTTACACTGTAAATTATGCTATAAAGTGAAATGAGAACATAGAGGGGCAAATTACTAATTCGAACAGATATTGGAGAAAGAATTGTGGGGTGGAGCTTCCAAACAGAGGAAATTTCATGAGGTAAGCACTTAAAGTCTGCCCAGGGCATTCAGGATGCCGCTGTTGTAGAGTGCATGCCGTCTGCAGGTGCACCGCCATTGTAGGGTGCAGGATGTCCCCCAGTGTTAAGCAGAGAAGAGAGTTTGGAATGAGAATCTTAAAGAGCCCTGAATACTGTCCTAAGGGGTTGCACGGGAGAGGTGCAGAACTATTTTAGAACTAGTCTCTAAGTGCTATGAAAAAACAACGGAAGAGGAGAGGGTGGAAAGGGATGTGCTACAAAAAATGTCATTTATATTTTGGTAAGCTCCATTTAGGAAGAAAAAAAGAGCAGTTGGCACTGCATATAAGCTTGTTTTGTTTTGTTTTTAGAAACCAATATCGCTGTGGACTGAATTATGTCTCCCTCCACCTCAAATTCCTATATTGAAGCCCCACCCCTCACAGTGATAGTATTTAGAGATGGGGCCTTTGGGAGATGATTTGGTTTAAATGAGATCATGAGGGTAAAGTCCTCACTATGGGATTAGTGCTCTTATTAGAAGAGAAACCAGAGAACTGGGTCACTCTCTCTCCTCCTTGTGAGGACACAGCAGGGAGGCGCCATCTATAAATCCTGAAGCCTCACCAGAACCCACCATGTGGGCACCTTGGTCTCAGACTTCCGGCCTCTAGAACTGTGAGGAAATACATTTTTGATGTATAAGCCACCCAGTTTATGTTATGACAGCCCAAGCTGACTAAAACAAGTATTTTTTCAGATAAAAATGTTAAGAAGCACTTGCTTATAAATACATGAAATAGCCTGGAAGGAGATGCAGCAAATAACAATGTGCCTGGAGGAGGAGTGCCTGGGGCACAGGGGTGGGGAGGGAGATTGTTGTATCTTTTGAAGTTTGAACCATGGGAATATATCACCTAGGCTAAAAATGGATGGATGGATGGATGGATGGATGGATGGATGGATGGATGGATGGTTGGATGGATGGATAGATGAGGCCAAAGCCTCTTTTTGCTACTGGATAAAATTCATGGAAGCTGCTAAAAAACTCAAAAGGAGAAGACTGATATCCCTTTACATAATTCAGAAAGTAAAGTGGTTGAAAAAAGCAAGACATGAAGTTTCAAGATCTTTTCATCACAGCTGAAAACATGGAACTATCACGGGTGTTCCTGAGTTAGGCATTTTTGTAATTAGAAAAGTAATGTGTTTTTTTTGTAAAATGTTCAAACAATTCCGTAATAAAAGTTTTTCATATATAACCTCCATGTTCCCACACTCATTCCTCCAACTAAAGAGACAGAAAGAGAAATCACGGGTAAGCTTTTGGCATCCATACTTTAAATCCACCTGTGTCAACTTATCTCAATCTTTCACTGGAAATGAAAGTGATCCCACCCAGGGATGGGGTAGGGAGGAGAAATTCATTCATCAACCAATGAGGGAGGATCAAAGACAACAGGTGAACAAATAAGTGTCATCCCATATAGGTGGGGAGCAAATGCTTACAGTGTAATAACTAAAGGCTGCTCTGGGCAGAACATGGTGGTTGTTAGGAGTAGTTGTGAGTGTGGCGGAGGGCAGAGGAGTCAGGCAAGGCTTCCCAGCAGAGGTAGGTTCTATACTGAGTCTTGAGGAATGAAGAGTTTGCCAAGCAGACACATGCATGAAGAGAGATTTATGGTCCACTGAGAAGAAACAATAAGGCATGTTTGATGGACTGAAATTAATTCAGTATTCCTGGAACATAAATGGAGTTTGGGAGGCTAGAGAAAGGATCAGAGAAATGATGTTATGGAGTTAGGCAATATCCATACCTGGGAGGGCCTTTCAGGGTCCCACCAAAGGATTTGGATGGAGGATGGAATTGAAAAAAAAAAAAATATGAGTAGGGGGTGACAAAGTCAGATGTGGGATTAGGAGGGAAAAGTCACTTAAGAGGTCTGAGGAGGGACAATGAGGTAACATCAGAGCCAGGAGACCAGTGGAGGGCTCTGCACCTATCCCAACACGGGCCGAACTAAGGCAGTGGTGGTCAGTTTGAAAAGGAGGAAATGATGATGAGCTATTTTGAGGAGCTAGAACTATAAGACCTGAGGGGTGGATTGGGTGTGTTGACTGAAGGAGAAAGAGTCATGAGGGATGACTAGGGTATATGTTTGACAATGGATGGATGCCACTACAGTTCTGGAGAGAGGCTGAGGGATACTTATGGTAGGGAGGGAGTGTGGGGGTGGGGTGGGGTGAGTGTTGATTTGGGCATGTTGATTGTGAGGTACCAATGTAATATCCATGTGGCCGCAGATGGACAAAGGTAGATGTAGGTTCCAGGAGGCCTGAAGTATTTATCATTTGGGGACCCTTTTAAAGAAAAAGAATGCTAGATTCAGTGTGATAGGGAATATATTTTGAGAATAAGAAATTGTAAAATTACAAAATTTTAAAAGGTGAAAAGTGCCATAAAATCACAAAATTCATAGAAAATTATATTTTTATTAATTACCTGACATATCCCTTATAATGCATTTTGTCCTACATTTTTGGGGAGCAACAACTTTTGGAATCCATTTTTTAAATGCTTATTCATCCTTTCAGCTGGCAAATTCTTTATCTTTGCCTCTTTATACAAAACACAATTTTGTAATATTTACTATGAAGAGAAAAAAGGTAATTCAGTCTTTCCTTTAACATGGTTAATCTGAATTGGCTTCTTATGATTATTTCAAAAAAGTTTTTATGACTTCTTACCTCATTATTGATAACATCATGTAGATTTTTAGAATTTCTATTAAATTTGAAAAAACATTTATCAAGTTTCTTTCACATATGAGCTGTTTTTGTGACTGCTCTAAGCTTATGCCCTACAAACACAGGTGTCATGCTTAATTCTAATTCGCATGATTCTAAAGATTCCAGATTCCAA